TGAAGGGCTACCACCTTCTCAACAACCTTACCCAAAAAAGGGAGGTTGGAGACTGGACGATAGTTTTTGAGAATAACTGGGATCAGAGAAGGCTTCTTAAGGAGGGGTCTCACCACCGCTTCCTTCAAAGGTTGCGGGAAAGATCCCTCCTGCAGAGAGGTGTTCGCGATCCTCTGGAGCCAGCCTTGTGTTACCTCCCTGCTGGTCAAGAGCAACCAGGAGGGGCACGGGTCCAGCAAACAGTGGAGGCACTCATCACTCCCATGGTCTTGTCCATTTGAATTTGAATTTGAATTTTAAATCTTGGGATGAAACCAGCAGGAGGCAGGACCTATCTGGACCCCAAATGAAATGCAGTCAGAACTCACCTTCTCAGGGGAGAACTCAGCTTCAGGTTTCAAGAGATAGACATTCTCATCAACGGCATGGATGGCACAGATGTAATCGTAAGTGCCTGAAATATGGAGTTGGGTTTCCCCTCCAGGCAGACCTTCTTGATCAGAGAACCACAGTTTTGCCTGTAAACATAAACCAGGTCTTTGAAAAAGCTACTTCCTCTCGGTGTGGAATGAATGGAAGGAGAAATGAATGGGATGAAGTCATCCTTGTTGTCATGCATATTGTAATGTTGAATTGCCCTCTGTGACTAATCTCAAACTATAGTTTGACAGGTTCAATGGAACTATTGGCTGACCCCCCAAAAAATAGGCTTGGTGACTTCCCGTTTGGCGTTGTTGCGATACAATTATAGGGACCGGGGCTTCGCTACCCTAGGCTGAACTCTCTTCATTGGGGGCCCCTTAAAGGACTAAAGTCACCTTGGAGGGGTGACAAAGAAAGGAGTGACATCTTGTAGACCGCAGAAAGTCACAACTCTCCTGCCTGATCTGAGGCTTATCCTCCCATCCAACAATGAAGAAAAGATATTGGTATTAATAATTTTTTAATTGAGATATTAAAACAGGCAAGAGATGAAGGATAGAAATAGAGTATCTACCAATATAAGGTTTGTGATATTAAGATATAGAATAGAGGTAGAAATTAGAAAGGGAGGAAAGATAATCATGCATATTTCTATACAATATGTTACAATTACCGGTAATAGGTAGATGAAAGGACCAGAAGTTGAAAGATGATTGTATTATGTACAATGTTATTATAATTATGTGAGTAGGATTAATGTAATGAAGGCTATCAAAATTGTTTTAAAAAAGGGCTTAAGATTAGGCGATGTTTGGGGTTTACTTTTCATTGCAATTTATTTATGACCCACTGAGATACCGGTAGGAAAGGGAACAGGTCTGGCTAGAACATAACTGATTACATCAGCCTGGGCCAGCAGATAGAAAAAGCGTAACTCAAGAGCTTTTTTTTCTCAAAGGATCAGGAGCAAAGAAGGCTTTGTGGATATTAGCATCAATAGAGCGGAGGAGCACCAGCTTAGAGAAGACCTGTTCTGGGTCATTAAGATTCTGTCTTTCTTTAACAGCACAACACAAAATATACAACGTTACCCTATCACGGAAGCACTTTTCTACGGTGAAGTCTCTCGAGTCAGCAATGAGTTCTCCGCTGGGCAAAATGGTGTAGATGAGCCACTGGGTGTTGAAAGCATTTTCGACAAACATCCAGTGTGTCAAAAGGAACTCCCCTTTGGTTTCTAAAGGATGAAATTCCCGGGTGAAGGGGATTGAAAGAGACATATAAATTTAATCAGGTAGGTAGGTAGGTAGGTAGGTAGGTAGGTAGGTAGGTAGGTAGGTAGGTAGGTAGGTAGGTAGGCAGGCAGGCAGGCAGGCAGACAGACAGAAAAAGGAGCAGACAGACATATGATGACAGATATAAACAGAAATGGATGGATGAATAGAGATAGAGGGATAGATGGATGATAGAGATAGATAGATAGATAGATAGATAGATAGATAGATAGATAGATAGATAGATAGATAGATAGATAGATAGATAGATAGATAGA